ATTGGGATCGATAATGTATCCAGCCCCTACTTTCAAATTGCTGTGGGCTCAAGTTTTTATCTTTTCTGGGCCGTTGTGGGGTTCTGGGGCTGGTGTGTGGAGCAATAGCAGGCAACCTTTGAAGAGGCCTCGAAAGGAGCAGCAGTCCCTTTAGCCCAAATCTGCAGCATTGGGAAGGAAATTCCTGGAATTGCTGCGAGTGACCTGGAAGTTTTGGCCAGCCTTCGGTTCCAGAATTATCTATATTTAAGCCAGTCTGGACAATTACCACTAGATGGCATCACATTGCAGCTAACTGGGATAAATTTGAAGTACACGACTTTGCAACTCTTAGCCCCTGGTTGTAGAGGCTCATCCTGGGCATTTTGTAAACCTCATAATTAAACATCTCTTCATGTATATGGCTGATTTTTTTGGTTTGCACTCTGCTTATGGATTCTACTTTACTTTGAAACTATATGCAAATGAAATGGATACATTCCTTGAAAAATATAAAATGGCAAAAGAAGCATCAATATAGAAGAATAGTACCATATATAATAAATACATTGAAGTGGCACTTGACAACTTCCCCAACCTAAAACCCCAGGCTCTGATCATTTTACAGGTAAATTCTACCAAACTTTAAGAAACAGTTGATTCCTAACTCATACTAGATATTCCAGACAATGGAAGAGAATAAAAACTGCCCAGCTTATTTTATGGATCTAAAATAATAAGATTCAGAATGTGTGTGTGGCTGTACCCCTCTGCCAGAATGTGTGGCTCCCTCAGTACCAGCCAGACTTTGAAGACTGGATGCTACCTGTGACCAAAGGTGTGCCACAAGGGTGCCAGGTCTTTCCTTCTCCCTTCTTCTCTCTACCTCCCCAGCAGACGAGCTCTCTGCTCCGCATTAGAAACCCTGGATGGTGGGTGGGGACTGAATGTCACGCCAGGACCTCCTGGTTGAAAGTACCTTGAAGCACAGAGAAAGGGAGTGCACCTCTGAAGGTGAGGCTGACTGGGAGATGAAAAGAGCACCTGAAGACTGGGAACCACCAGATGTCAGACTTGGAAGTGACCACAGAGATTACGCTTTCTGGGACACTGCAGACATCTCTCTGACCAGGCTGTGTGAGAGCCCCTTTTCCTGAGGTGAGGTGGTAACTACCTGGTAGCCACGCCACCCTTGGACAGTTGAGTCAGAAAGTCCTTCCTTGGACTGATTTGAAAACTGCTTCCCTGGGGCGTTCCCTGAGAACATGATCTGCTTGAGCTGCTAAACTGGAAAGGTGGACACAACTGGCTGGGAAGAAACTGGGACTTCAGATCTGTGGTGCTTAGGTTACAGTTACAGAGTGCTGACTATCACACACTGGGGAGGTGCTGACTATCACACTGGGGTCTTGAAGCTGATGAAAGACAGACCAAGACAGTGAGGGGTCCTGACCAGAGTGGCCAGTGGCAGCTGGGTTAGCTGCTTTGCATACAGCCACTGTTGCTGTTATACAGGATATGAATGTGTTGGGAAAATCCCATATTAACCAGAGGCTTCTCTGTTATACTGATATCATTTCTTTATCAGTCCATATATAGGAATTCCTACAAGAAAGACCATATCCAGGAATTAATTTATCCAAGAGTATATACACACTCTATGGAGACAAGTTTAAAATATAAATAAAAGACATAGAAGATGATCCAAATAAATGGAGAGACAGTCCATGTTCTTGGGTGAGATGACTTAATATGATGAAGATGTTAATTCTTCCTAAATTATCTATAATTTCAATTCAATCCAAATAAAAATTCTATTTGGATTTTTTGATGCACTTGATAGACTTTACTCTAAAATTTATACAGAATAATGAAAATCCACAAATAGTAAGCCAATCTCTTTTTAAAAAATTGAGGACATATAACAGATCTACCCTTTTAAACAAATTTTTCATTGTACAGTATTGTAAACTATAAGCACAGTGTTGGCTAGTAGATCTCCAGAACTTCTTTATAGTAAGCCCATCTTGAAAAAGAATAAGTGGGGTAACAGTCCCTGGCTGATATTAGGGTATACTACAAAGCCGTAGTGATAAAAACGGTGTCATATTGGTGCAAGGACAAATGGATCAATGAAACAGAATAGAGAGCTCAAGAACAGACTCATATCAACCAGAAATTAATATAAAGGTGACACCACAAGTCAGTAGGGCAGGGAAGGAGAGGAAGGATTGTCGTAGATGCTATTGGAAAAACAGACTCATCGAATGAACAAAAATAAGATTGATCTTGTCATAATACCACATCCAAAGGTGGATTTCAGAAATTAAAGAGCTAAAAGTGAAAGTAAAGACTATACAATTATTAGAAGAAAATGTTGGAGAAATTTTTTGTGACCTTGACGTTGGGAATGATTTATGAAATAAAACTTCAAAAGTAAAACTCATAAGAAGAAAAGTCAATTTTGATTATGTGTGGGCAATGTTATCACAAAGATTAGAATAAATAAAGTGGCTAATGCCAACAAGGGACTATTATCTGGAAGACACAGAGAACTATTGCAATTAACAAGAAAAAAAAGTACAAACGCTGGTAGAAAATGGCAAAGCATAGGAAAAGAACATTTATAGAATACACAAAATTTTACAAGAACATGTACAAATAAAATAAGTGTTTGAAATAAAGAGCTTTTAGGGGAAAAGGAGATGAAAAAGAACATTAAAATGAGGAAGAGGAAACTACATTGTTGCCTATGAAGAGGGAGAGATGCTAGTGAGCCGTGGGGCTTACAAAATACACGTGTGGAGCAAACAAAGAAGTTAATGAATAAATAAATGAGAGGAGTCTGTGGACCAATGAACAACTGAGTATCATTATCTTAGTCTTTTCCAAAGGAAACCCAAAAAGATAAAAAGTTGGAGATATCTGTCTCTTTTAAACTTCAAGCCCGCTCTCCTATCCTAGTTTTATCCCTGAGACCATGTAAACATCTTCCCGTTAGATAAGTAGTAACCCTAGAGGCCATCTAGATGATCGCCTGATGTGTACAGAACATCTGGCACAGAGTACAGACTCAAACACTAGTTTCCTCTTCTCTATTTTAATGTTTTCTTTTTCATCTGCTTTTCCTGTAACAGTTCTTTATTTGAAACGTTTAAGAATTCCTCACCGTTGGAGTCATTCTCCTCCGTTTATCTCTTTTGACGTGTGGCCACCTTAGTACTCTCCGGTAGGCCTGTCTCCGAGTATACCTCTTTCTGAAATCACATGTCAATGCAGCCTGGGAGAGCAGCAGCAGTGTGGGCAGCCACATCACCCTGATGACTCTTGTTGAGTCACTGCCCCCAACCCTCCATCTCTTCTTGGAAATCTGTCATGTAATGCATGCTGCTCTCCTTGTGCAGTTCCTTCTTAGCCCTAAGTAGAAGATAGTCCTAAGTGGATACCTATTGGATTTCATTTTGTTAAATTTGGCCTTGAATTTGCTCTCGGACTGTCAGTTGTGCTATCAAAGAAGTTCCTGCAGGTTTATATCACTCCTGAAGATATACATCTTGTGCAGATTTCCAAGGCCATTGTGGGCAGACCCAGGACAATCTGGTGGATGTTACAGGAAGGCAGCTTGAGCCTCAGCGTATGGGAAGTCCTTACAATCAGAACAGTCTAACATGGAATAGATTTCCATGGAAGGTACTGAATTCCTTGTCACCAGAGGTGTGCCAGACGTGGCTGCTTGATCAGAGCGGAGGTGGTGACGTCCAGCCTCTTGTCATGTTAGAATCATCTGGGAAGTCATTTAAACCTCCCAGTGCTGCCCCCTTCCCTCAGATATTCTTATTTAATTGGTTTGACATGAAACTCGACTTCAGATTTTTTCCTTAAAGCTCCCCAGGCCATTCAAATGTGCCCCCATAGCTGAGAGAAAAAAATCAAAGCCCAGGTTAAGGAAGTCGGGTCTGACAACCTGAGGTTCTTACTTTTATCTTAGCAACAATATTATCTGAACTTCCTATTTGGTATAAAGCTTGGGTGCTTTTTGATGCCGACCTCTCTTTCTTTTCAGGTTTTCTTTCAGTCAGACTCCCTCCCTCGTGTCCACCTGGAGCGTCATGGTGGCAGGAAGACGGCCGCTGCTCCTGCTCCCGTTCTTACCCTTGGTGCTGGCCTGTTTTGCTCCCCTTGAAATCGATTACCCTAAAGTGCTCTCTTAACCTCTGCACGCTGGAAATCATAGCGCTTTTTCCAAAGGGACAGTTTTCCGTAGAATTGGCCATTTAAATTGCAGCACAAGATTGAAGAAAACACATTTAACTGTGGAAAGGCCATCGACAGTAGCCGTAAGTGTACATTTTCTGTTTTGGGTCCATATATTGAAATGGTTTAGAAAACCCCAGATTCTCTTTAGCTTGGACAATTGGAAAAGACGTTAAGGAATGATGACACGGGACTGCATCTAGGGGCACTTGTTAATTATCCGCATCCTTCAGGGAAAAGGATGAGGTTGAGGGGAAAAGAGGATTAAGGGAAGAGAAATCAGCCATAGAATCCCAGCCTGTAATGGAAGTAACTACCTGACGTCCCCTCATCAGAGTCTACTTCCAGGTTTTTTTGCAAAGTGAACTTACCATGAAATTTGAGTCCTCAGATGCCCCTTTTCCTCTGTCCTTTTCAGACTTCCTGTCTGCTCTTTCCATCTTTGTAGCTCCCCCGAGGCAGATGGGTAGGTAGGCTGGCTCTGCTGTGACTCAGTGCCATTTTATAGAGGTAATCTTTACGTCTCTTGCCTCCTATCAGGAAAAAGATCAGGGCTTGACATTACAATAGGCCTCCTTAAATAACTATGAGAGAGTAAAAGTTCACTAAAATATAATCAGTTGCTTCTAGGTGAATAGTAACAATTCTTGCTCTAAAACCTTAACCTTCCAGCCATTAAAATGTTAAATGTGAACAAGATAGACCCTTTTGTTGCCTTAAATAAATACCTTCCTTTAATTTTTTTTTTTTTCTCGAGTAAAGTATCCCAGTTAGTTTCATGAATTCCTGTCCTTAACCTGACAGTTGGCCATATTTACTCCTTCCTAAATTTTTATGCTGGGTACAGTGGGGGATCTTCGGAGTGCATTTTTTAAGACATGAAGAAAATTCTGTTTGTCTATTGCTTCGCAAGTGAGTGCTCCTGTTTTTGCCCAGTGGGCTTTGTTCAGCTAAGGCTGCAGTGTGATCCTCTCCATTCAGCCATCTCTTGGCCCTCTTGGAGCCAGTTACTGTGGCTAGAACTTTGGATGAGGAGGAGGAAAACCTGAAGGATGGGACCAGGGGCTTCTTATTCATGGAATTTAACATTTCCTTGGGCTGATAGAGAACAGAAGTTTGTGTTTATGTAGATCATTTTTAATTCATTTTTTTTGGGGTGGAGAGGGCATAAAAATGATGCTCACATCAAATAGAAGTTCTAGGCTTCACCCGTGTGCTCTTCAGCACAGTTGGCTGACATGAGGTGTCAGCAGGTGTCTAGAGCAGTGGTCCCCACCCTTTTAGGCACCAGGGACCAGTGCTCCTATGAGAATGAAGTGCCTGATGATCTGAGGTAGAGCTGAGGCGGTGATGCTAGCGCTGGGGAGTGGCTGCAAATACAGATGAAACTTCGCTCACTCAACCGCCGCTCACCTGCTGCTGTGCGGCCCGGCTCCTAACAGGCCATGTCAGGTACCAGTCAGCGGCCCGGGGTTTGGGCACTCCTGGTCTAGAAAACAAAACACCATAATGGTTGCCCAAGTGGGTGAGGAGTTTCAGTAATGGCCTAGCTCTAATTGACACCCAAAAGGGCTGGGGATGGGTACCTGCTAGAGCTACAGGCAGTTCTTAGCAGTTCTGGGATCTCTTATGAATCATTCGCATGACTGTAAGAACCAGGCTTAGCAGCTTCTTCATCAAAGACCAGTGCCCTGTGGCCTGGTGGAGATTGACAGTGTTGGATGGCCATGTGACAAATACACCACCTTCCTTGAAGCTTCTGGGAGCCTTGCCTCAGGGGAGGGTGCAGCTACCACCCTAGAGAAATGGAGACTATTATTACCACTAGGAGGAATTGTGGTGTCTTACATTCCAGTAAGAGGTCTTTAGACCAACACAGCTACCTAACCTCTGGGTCCTGGCTCCCTGGAACTTTTGGTTAAATTTGAAAAATGACCAAACAAGAGCACACATGTAAATTAAGTCCTATTAAATACAGCTGCCAGAAATCATGTAGCAGGTATGATGGACATGAGTTTTATTAATGATATAATTTTAAACTACTTTAATTCAGCTAAAATTGCACCAGACCCATTTGACAAATAAAGAGATTACGAGAATAAATAATGCCTTGATATATATTTGCCTCTCATCTAAGTAAAGTTTCATGTTTATATGCCAGTCACTGATCTGTTCTAGCTATCATTACCATCAGTTCAAACAGTCCTGCAACTTATGTTTTTATTTTCATTTTACCTGCTCTTGAAAAAAGTGTGCATAACTTTGATCTGGACTCTGGTGGTCTTAAACTTGCTCAGCCTCAGATCCTTTTCCTGTCTTATGCTAGGTGTGTTCTCTGTCATAAAGGCGCTGAGCCGTGAAAGCTGTTGTTCACTGGCTTCTCACTGAATCCAGCCAGTGGAGGCACTGGTGAGACACTGGAGGGAGGTAGCAGGTAGGGAGAAGAGAGAAGCCCTTCCTCCATCTCCACCTTGGGCTGATTCTCTCACAGCAACTGAATTTATCCCATAGCTCCAACTCCCATTTTACAGGCCCACCATGGTTCCAGCCTTTGTCCGCTGGTGGACTCTCCTGAGTCCCAGCAATTCGGCCTAGACGTGATATTGGCTTCCTGTTGTTGCTCATATCTGGGTTACCATATCATCCCATTTGGCTCTAGCTTCTCTATTACCTGTGTAACTCATTCTGTGTATTAAATCTCCTCCATTATAAATACTTGCAGCAGTATATAATCCTCATTTTGTAAAGAAGGAATTTGAAGTCCAGAGAGATTAAAAGTGTGCTTTATAAGGCTATCTGGAAGTCAGACTTCTAGCATTTCAATCACTGACAATGCCATTAAGAATCCAGAAGTAAGTAAATGATAGTTTCTTTAATGTGAGTGCCTATCAAAAAATCCTTGCACTAATGCCCATGCATCAGCTCCTGTAAGCAGACTGGACTTATACTCAACTTTTTAATTCATTTTTAGTTTATTTTTGTGTATGGTGCAAGATAGTCTAGTGTTACTGTTTTGCATATAGCTGTCCAGTTTTCCCAACACCATTTATTATACATCATATATTCATTTCTTAGGCCAGAGCTGTGTTGCATAACTATAGCACCCCACAAGGGAAGTTGGGAAATATTTTTTGTTTGTTTGCTTGTTTTAGCTGAACACATTACAGTCTTAGTTCTGTTCACTATAACTGAGGAAGGAAGGAAGGAAGGAAGGAAGGAAGGAAGGAAGGAAAGAAGGAAAGAAGGAAAGAAGGAAAGTAAGTATTCTGTAGGAAACCAGTAGTTTCTGCCCCACTTGATTTTCATTTCTGGAAAATCTTGAGTCTATGAAAGCAAAGTGCCTTTTGATAATATAGATGGTAATCAGGCCTGAGGAAGAGGCAGCTAACATTCAGCCCTTTGGCGTAGTTTGGGGAGGAATTTCTGCCATTGGAAAGGAAAAGGAAGAAAAAAAGATGAGGCTCTATTAGTAAGTATATCCTATGATTAGAATCTCTTGGTCTAAGCTAGTATTTTCACTAAACAGATAAGGAAATTGAGGCCTAGAGAACTTAAGCCTTCTTACTGCAAGTATTTAATTGAGCACCTAGAAGTGTATATTGTAAGTGCTTGGGAGTCATTAATGAACAAAACAGAGTTCTCAGGCATTAGTAGATTACGGCCCTACCTGCAGGGACAGGATGGGGACTGGAATCCAGGTGTCTTAAGTGCCTACTGCTATATTGCTCAGGGCCAAAAGTACTATAGCTTTAAGGTTACTTGAAATTCATGTAAGGTAAATATTTTGATTGAAAATCATAAGTTTGTCTGGTTGCTTTGGGAGGTGTTGGGAGATTCTGAAACAATCTTCTTGCTTTGTGAATCTAATTGACCTTCAGGTGAAATAATACTCGCTGACTATCTCTCATTTCCGAACCCTCGACCTTGTCTTTTTTGTTTGTTTGTTTTTTATCTCCTCTTAGATTTTTTTCTGCATTGCAAATGGGAGTGAGCCAGAGCAGTCTCATCACTCCTTCCAAATAATACTTTGAAGGGAAATATCCCATTTGGATGAAAATAGGTAGATATCTAGTTCTTAGGGATTTGCTTCAAGTGGACAAGTTATTTTTGAACCAAATGTAAAAAAAGTAATGAGAGCTATTTTTAACAACCATATCTAAATGTTCATAACAAAACATTATTTTTTACATTCATTTTGGAAAGATATCTTTCTAATGATGCTGCCATTGATTAAAACACTTTGGAATGCCTCCTTTCCTACTGATTTCAGGATCACTTAATAAGTCACAAAAGAAATTTGGTGTCATTACTTTATAAGAAGACCCCAGTTGATCAAAATACCATTTTTTGGAAGGAACACTTACTTTATTTTCCAGATCTGGCTCTGAATATCTTTGTCAGTTCTGACCGCTGAGGAGATTTAAAAGTCTATGTCACAAACTAAAGACAATTTTTAAAAAGGTGTTAAAAAAATATTTTGAGTAATGACGGTATTGTTGGAGTAATGTCATATATTCCTATACTCCCAAGGTGTCTGCTTGGAAAAGGTATAAATATTTTGGCAGGTATTGAACCACCTATTCCATGAATAGTTCAAATACATAATCAGACACTCTTTTTTATTTAAATCTAAGCAAATATTTTGGATATCAAATTTTCGAATAGGGATAGCTTATATCTCATTATTTTAAATGGGAAAAATTGTAAAGCATTTTTAGCCCACTCAAAAACACAAAACGATTTTACCCTCAAATCACTAAATTACTCTTACGTACCTATAGAACAGTAAAGTTTTCTGGAACCACAATTTCAAATATTTTTACAAGTTTTTCATGCATTAAAAAAAATATAGACTTGGCAGATAGAGACACGTGCGTGGCCAAGTTTATGACTTTCACAAGTTTACTTCTCTTCATGTGCCTCTCCACGTTTCCCTTTTATTCTAATATATGGGCTCCTCCACCCCTCTTAGACCTGATTTCTTCACAGGCATTTCTACTTGTCTACTCTTTCAGTAGATTTTTCTCTCAGTAATGTGAGGGAGGTGACGGTGATAATATACAATACTGTTGATCAGAGTACACAAGCCCCTAAACCATCTCAAGAACAGCTTAGAGGGGACTTTTTACTAAGGCTTTTGTGCCACCTAAATGTTTTCTCTGGCATGCATAAGAAGATTTATTGAAGCAATTTTTTATTTGAATAGTGAATTTTATAGAAACACTTTGGTAAATTGTTAAAGTAGACCTTCTGATGGTAAGTGGTTAGCAAGTGACGAAACCTGTGTAAAGTAGCTTGTGTATTTACTTATCTGATACATGGCAACCGACTACCAATTCATTAGCATATCAAATATGTTTTGTACTATAGAAAAATTTCAATATTTCTTTGGAATTAATATTTAAAGTTTTCGTTTTGGCATCTGGAAAGAATTGCCTGAGTAACATTTGCCACATGATTCATAGAACTTTTTATTTTATTATTATTTTTGGATTGATAGTCTGGTTTTTTTTTCTGCTCAGCGTGCTCTTTGTTGAATGAAGGGAGAAATTTCTATGGATGTAACCTGATCTTCCAAAGCTGACTTGTGGAATTATCTTTACTCTAGACTAATTAATTAGATAAGCGTTTCTCAGATTGGTATTTCCTGAAACAGCATTCTGGGAATTAATAGATGTGATTAAAAAAAATGTTTTATTGTAAAATAAGTATGGAGGACATAGGTGCCTTCTTTGGAGACCCACAACTTAAGAGAACATATTAATGACTGAGTCTTGTAGATAAAACAAAGAAAAGCAAAACAAAAAAATCTAATTAGCTTTCTTCCATTATTAGGTCTCATTTTTAAAAATGAAACACTTATTAATATCTTTCAGAACACCAGTTTTGGAGACATTCCATGAAACCAATAGTTTATTTCTTTCACAGATTGAAGAGCCTGTTCTAGAATTTGATGGAGTTAAGAAACGTTTTACGGTTATACGTCTGCATTTCCCAGCTCTTAAAAATATTCTAAAGAAGTTATCTAACACTAGACACCAGAATTTGGCAAGGACCAAATGACGTAGAAGTTGGCAAAATGTTATGCTGTAATAATTAAAAGAGTTTTTCCATGTTAAGTAAGCACAGATCATTTTCAGAAAGGGCTGAGAAGTATTTGTTTAGACTTCTAATAAAAATTAAAGAAAATATAATTATAGTTTACACAAAGTGTATTTCAAACTTTGAATAATTTCTCTAGTGATATTATATAAATGTAGTATTTGATCCACTACTTCAAAAAAATATTTATTGCTGCAATGAAAAAGGGAGAGATATTTGCAGTAATACTGTTAGTGTTATTTTACATTAAATTCAGCTAATCTCAAATTGTTTATTAGCAGAGTCAAGTTAGTATACCAGGAGCAGATGAAATGGAAACTTTTGGAACTGAATACTAAAGATCGCCATGAGAGCTGGTCTTTCTTTCTGGAGTTTCTGTACAGCATTATGCCTCAGAATTCCCTCTCTCCCCCGACCCTACCATGCTGTCCTCCCTGTCTATGCGCATTGAAATATTGTCCAAAGCTTAACTTTTATCACAGATGTCACCTCCTCCATGAAGCCTTTTCTGATCTCCTACTGTTTGTTATTTCTGTCTTTAGACCCATAACACTAGGAGTTACCTACTATGACATTTATACTCTGCCTCAATTATCATATTTGTTTTTTGTCAAAACACTCTCATGTAACCCACACCCACATTGAAATCCTTGATTGAAGCTCTTGTACTTAGCCGACATGTAGCTGGTGTCCAATATTTATGAATTAAATACTGAAAAAAAAATCCCAAACACCCAACTGCTTTCTCTTTGTACTCTCATATGAAGAGCATTTGGTAAAAACAAAATAGGCATCTGAGGATAGGCCCCTTAGTGTTTTGTTTTGGAGTTAGTATTAATGGTCTCACCAGGACACCAGTTTGTACCCAAGAAAGAACTTAAAAAATATTATTTCACCATTGCCTCTCTAAGAGGCAACACTAATTTAACCAGCAGAATATTTTCCAATATTTCTGTTGCATGGACTGTTTCTTTATTGTATTATTATTTTAGGGTGTGTAAATTCTTGGTGGCTATCTGGATTAAACAAATAACAAATAAAAACTAAGGATGCCATGAAATAAGAATATTTATAAGGTCCATTACTTCTTGACTTTGAGCAATTGACTAATTACCTTAAGTTCAAAGCTAATTCATAGAAGTTTTTATAATAATAACTTACATTTGTCTAGTGACTGGAGGTTTGTAAGACACTTTATCTGTATTATTCATTTAATCAACTAGTCAATTAACAAATTATTTTTTCAACAGACGTTACTTTGAGCTCATTATGTCACAAATATTGGCATGCATGATTTGGGGATTCCTAAAATAAATAAGGCAAAGGTCCTGCCCTCTAGAAGTTTTCAGTCTGGTGACAGAAATATAAACAAGGAAGTAGACTAAAATGTTGTGATCAAAGTCTGAACACAGCACAGCAGGGACACAAAGTAGGGAGTGGGTTGTTCTCACCAAAGGAGGGGAAGGTGGACAGAAGAGCATTCGCAGAGGAGGGGCCATTGAACGAGGTCTCATTCGATTCGTATTACTGTCACTCTTGTCTGTGGTTTACAGCTGGGAAGCTGACACAGAAGATTGAGGCATCACTGAGGTGACCTGCTCTTGAGATTTCAAAAGTGAACCAACCAATCCACCGCCACAGCATCTCCTCGGCACACCACACAATTCCTGGAATGTGAATCTCATGTTCTAGCAAGGATGAGAAAGAGAAGGTAAGGCCAGAGAACCTGAAATGGAGGATTATGTTTATTCAAAATGAGCCTGGTTCCCAAAGTAACAAGAAAAACAACTTAATTGAAAATGTTATTCATCCATAAGAGAAGAGAGAAAGCCAAACCCAAAGGCGGGATTCCAGCTCTAAGCTGGAAACAATGGCTTTGCTGAGATTTACAGGCCTGTGAGAATTCTCAATTGCAGAGGGTATTAAGGAAAGTTATTTGAAAAATATTGAAATTACTTTGACATCATTTCTCCTAGGCAATATTTGGAAACTCACTTCTTGGAGGTTAAGCTTCCATTTACATGAAACTTTGGAGGGAATGGGGTTTAAAAGGATGAGCTACTTCTGCTGCTGTCAACACCCACGACTCTAATTTCTTTCTTTATTCTGTTCACTAAAAGCCACTAGTATTTTCCATGGGAAGGATGTTTCCTTTTAGTAATACGTTTGATGTGTGTGGCCACGTTTCACTATGTTGGTGGCATATTGATTTGCAAAGTGCCTTAAGAAGACAAATGTGCATTTAAGATAACAGTGGCAAGATCAACTAAGTATGGGCACATATTTGCTTTGTTCTCTGAAAGAGAGCTTAATCGCAGATATTATAATGCAGCATCGCCCAAAGATTTCTAATATGAGCTAAAGCTGCCCAGAAACTGTGATGGGAAGGGATTTGGTCTTTTTCTTTGCCTCTGTTCTTCATGTAATCACATGAGAATATGAGCCGGAGTGGTACATTTTATAAATTATTAAACTGTAAAATCACAGTGTTAAAAAAGAAAACTACAGGCCCCAGAAGGCGTCCCTTGTGCTAAAGTCCATGACACCAAACCTAGACTTAATATCTGACCTAATTGCAGCCTCAACCTTCAGCAGAAATGTCATCTTAATTAACCGGTCTGCAATTTTCTGGTTGACACCACAGAGGTCATCTGTCACATGGGTCCTCTCCATCCCCCACAGGAAGAAGAGGCAATCTGCACGTTGAAACCTTGCTGGTCCCTCTCCTGCCCCTCTCCCATTGTCCTCCCCCCACCCCCCCGCCCCAAAAGATGTCCTGGTAAAAAAATAATTCTTTCTTTTCTTTGGCTAAGAATTCCCCTGCCACACCCTTCTTCCTAGAAAAACCTTCCATTCTGTACAACCCCTTGAAATGCCCTTCTAGTTACCAGATGGGATGCTGCCTGATTCATGAATCACTTAATAAAGACAATTAGATCTTTAAATTTACTAGGTCGAATTTTGTTATTTAACAAAGTTAAGGAAGCAGGTATTTTAACTTACCTGAAAACAAAGTTCCATTACTCCAATGAACTAGGTAGCCCCTTATTTTTATGATCCTTTATAGGTTAAAAAATGTTTCAAATGTTCTCTTTGGGTCTTCATAAGAACCCTAATGAGAGACAGGAGATCTTATAGGCAAGATTTTTTTTTTTTTTTTAAACTCATGAAGAAACTGAGGCCCAGAAGGTTAAGGCTAGGCTCTAGCTAATATTAATGAACATCTTTTGTTGTCTTCTGGACTAGTATTGCTTAGTTCTGTTAAAAGATAAACTGAGGCATATTAAAAAATTTAAGACTTTATTTGAGAGCAAATCAATTCAAACTGGGTGGTGCCCCATTGGAGGTAGTTAGGAGTGCTCCTCCAACAGGAACCAAGAGAAAGATTTCATAGAGAAGATGCAGATGCTCTTAAGCGTTTGTGTTACTTGGGAAAGCGGAGTTGGCTGTTTGTAATTGGGTGTCCTTAGGTTTTGAGTTTTTACCCTTGAAGCTTTTATAGGCTTAGGTTTTGGTTTGCTTACATAGAATGCTAAGATATTAGAACCATCTCAGTCTAACGGCCTCCTCGTTTAAGTGATTTAATGGTTGTTTATATTTTATTGCTTCTTTGCAGAGAAATTCTCTCATGGACACGCACTGTGCCCCTAACCCTGACCTGCTATTTCTCAAATGTGCGTGATTAGTTGCAAGGGAACCTGGATGATGAGAAAATGGATGATTCAGTATCAGCCCATCCCACTTATAAGAAAAGTAATACAAATCATATATCTCAGCGGTACAATGGTTTGAATTACTTTAATATAGGAAGAGCAGCACATAATTAAATTCTAAGAATCGAGAATCATATTTCTTTTACTGGAAGCACCTGCATCAGAAGAAAGTCGGTCTGGATGAACACAGGTGACTAGGGGTGCTCGTTCTAACACTGTGCAGTAAAATTATAGAAAAAGAACAAAAGCGGCGATGTTACCAAGTCAGCTCATTTTCTCAGGCCACACTAGCCCAGAATTTTAAAAGGGGTCACATAAATGGCAATAATCCATATTTTTAGCTTTTTATCCTTTTGGCTATTACAACCCCCGTCCCCCGGCCTCTGTCCTCCCGCCATCCCCCAGCGGAGTCCCCAGAGCGTGTCTTCTGTGTGCTGCTCAGTTCTGTACGCCCCCCGTGGGTTTCATGACATGTTTCCTTCCCCGCCTGCCCGAGCTCTTATGTTGGTGGGCTGGGTGCCTTCAGAGGGGACACGGATTTTGCCCTCAGTTGGCAGCCTTCTCGGGGACCATTCTTGCCTCTGCCTCTGATTCCTTTCTTGGAGTTCTTGATGTGAGCCAGAAAGAGGTGGGATAATGCCATCTTCTCTCTTTTGGGATATGCGTGGATCTCAGAGCAAGACGAGGTGGCTAGTGCATTCTCTCTTTATTTTTAGATGTACGGCTCTCTCTTTTTAGCACTGAGATATGAGTCTATGAGGGTAGGCCATGGATAAAGCTGTGAAATGTTAAAAACTGTATTATGACCATTGCCTTGTCCTCCCCTTGGTTCCTCATGAAAATACTTGTTAGTATTTTCTGGGAGACTACTACCTATTAGCTGCCAGAGGGACCCAAAATTCCAGCACGAAATAGAACCTAGACTCGAGCTTAGAGCACCCAAAGTATCAAAATTCTGTGCTCAGTGCAGAGTTAACTTTTTCCCTTCTATTTCCTGTCCTTTTTTGTATTCTTGACTTCTGTTTCTTTGGTTAATTGATTTTTTTTTTTAACCCTGAGCATATGGAGTGAAAACTGCTTTGAAAGGCAAAGCTGCTTAGGTCAGATTTCTCTCTGACTAAAAGGAAGCCAATGAAGGAAACTCATGGGAGTGGATGGAGTTCTGCATTTCCAATCAGAAGAGCAACATCCTGCTTGTCCCTGGTGGTGAGTGACACCAAATCAGCTGGAAAGGGCTCTCACTCCTGGGGCTGAGAAATAAGAACTCTGGAACTTGGTGATGTCGTACTTATAAAACAAAACAAATCTAAACTGGGAGCAGAGCTTGCTGGCTTTGGCTTTGTGGACAGCAAGTATCTGGGTGCACTGCCTTGTCTACTGTCCAGAGGGAGGTGACTCATCCCCGCTCTGAGCTAGGACTCCTAGGAATACTGCCAGGAGTTATCCTCTCTCTTTACACTCCCAGCATCTCCCCGAACCATCCTGAGCCTATGTCTTATCTTTACTCTTTACGTAAACCTCAAAAGGGATCAGATGCCACCCGCCAGTTTGAACTCTGTAGAAATGTGTTTCTCAGCCAGGTAGCTTAAGAGGTAGCATGATGTGCGGGGTGGGGACAATAACAACAACAACAACAACAAAAAACCCAAAGCAGTAATCTGGGTGTCAGAAGACCTGAAATTTTTCTTTTCTATGGGCCATGCCACTTTATCCCTCTTCTACCTCCTGTCCATGCTCTCCTTCTTCACCTCCCTTGATTCATTTATTTGTATTCTCTGAAAATAGAATTGTGAAAGGGTTCTCCCACTCAAGGAGTTTCTTTGGAGCCTAGTGCAAAGTTTCTAGTAGTTGGGGGAGATGTTTTCCCTTACATTTATCGAGCACCTCCTAGGTAACAGCTGCAAGTCACTCTCTGTGCAAAGCACCCTTTACGTGCGTCCTTTAATCCTTATAATGGTGGTGGTGATGATGATGACGGTGATGATAACAAACACTTAGATGGTGCTTACTGTGCCAGGCACTGTTCTAATCAGTTTACATATATTCGCTCACTTAAATCTTCATCACAAACTCTGTGAAGTTAGTACTATTATGATCTTCATTTTGCAGATGACCATCTGAGCCTTAAAGTAGAAACAGATAAACAAACACATGCCTGAGGTCCCAGGGCTGATCTCAACTACTCATAAACCACAACAGGACAATTATCCTCTTTACAGAGGAGGAAATTGAGGTTCTAACAGGCTAAGGAAAACTGCCCATAGTCACAGCAAGTCAGTAGCACACCTGGACATCGAACTCAGTTCTAACTTGTTCCAGAGCCCAAGTTCTTTCCACTTTGCCGCTTTGCTTCCCCAGAGGCATTTTTGCTTTGTCATAAACTGCGGAGCATGATACTTTTAATGAAAGGAAAGTTTGCCAAATGAAAAGCAGATTAATGAGATATTTGGGATGCTGTCCAGTAAATAATCTGTTGCAGAATTCTTATCTTCTCCCATTCAAATTGCTAAAGCCATAACAGTAACAATTAGCTCAGCCTGGCTGTGGCAGCGTGGGAGTGAACTCTCTTAATTGTATTGCTCAGGCTGGACACTGGAGACCAGCAGAGCGTTCCTTTAGCTCGCTGAGCCATAGGTCGGAAATTGGCTTTCCCCATCAGCCTCCTCTTGCCCCTCCTGTTTTAGCCATGTCTTGGAACACCATTACTTTAGGAGAGAAATAGAGCTTAAAATTGGGTCAACATTAAAAATATTAGAAATGTCAATGCCTCCCTGTTTCCCGAATAGATGAGACTTAGAGCATCATTTGCACGTGACTGCCTAAGACTTTAGAGTCTATTGTTTTTATACAGGCAATCTTAGATACTCCCTGGGAATTTTCAAATATCCCCTGAAACTGAGAGGCCAGAAGAGAAATGTGATTATTTTTATATGATATATGGCTGAATTTTAAGCCAGATGCCCACATTTATATTGTGTGTCTACTCATGCTAGTTTTC